GGCCGGAGACGGCGGAGGTTCTGCTGTTGGACAGACATGAATAACAATTTCAGTTTTCTTTTCACAAACAAAATAGCTGCTTAATTTGTAGATGTGTTTAGTTCCATCCATATTTAACAAACAAATCAACGTACTGAAATGGAACTATTTGATCCCATAAAAAACCCAAACAAAAACACGCCATTCTGTGACCGTTTGGGCTCAGCAGGAAACAGGTGTACGGTGCAAAAAACCATCATGTTCCACTTCCTTGTACGGAGGCTTTCTGCAGAGTTTGCTCTGGACAAACACACACAGGGAGCAGAGCCTGAATCACTGAACAACACAAACAGTTGAGGAGGAGCGAGCAGACAGGACATACTCACATAACCGTGTGTTTTACTGACCCATATGTTTATATGTACACACACACACACACACACACACACTGCTGGACAGTAGCACACAGACTGAATGGTCTGGGGTTTATATGCCGTCCATCCTTAGATGTGTCAGTCTTCACAGATAGCAGTCAGTGAGATTAGAACTCAGTGATAAGACACCAATAGTACGTGTGTTATCTAACTGCACACACCTCTCACTCCCACACACACAGACCTTTATGCTTAAATACTGTCCGGACAAACACTCTTCTCTTCAGCGTGCCGTCAAAAGGCTCATCTGCAGGTGAAACTCCGTTTGTGAAGCAGCCTCAGCAGTGAACTCTGACCTCAGCCAAACACACTGTAGCCAATAAACAGAGAAGTTTTCTGTGCCGTGTTCAGGCAGGGGGACGTGAAAGAGCCTCAAAATCCTGATTTATGAAAACAAACTGCTGGTTTTGCAGGATTTATCCACTGCATTTATCACTTTGGAGAAAAACTGTCCATTTTTGCCAAAGCTGTCAATAATCACCAAACACTTTCTTAGATTCACAGTTTATCATATAATATGTTCATACAATATTCAACGCTTAAGAAAATCTTTCCTGTCAAATGTTAAAAAGAAAGGTAGATTACTGGGAAAAAATGCATTGATATTGATAAACAAGTTAAGATGCAGCATATTGGTAATGATATAAAACAACACTCAGCCATATTCATCATTTAAACCACTTAGTCAACAGACAACAATTCTTATTAAATACACTGTCTGCCCCAATACGTCTGTGTTTCCCTCTCTTCTGTTTTTAATGTCACTCTCTTGCAAATAAATATTTTCTTGGAGGAAACATGAGGAAAAGTTAAAAACCGCTTCATCAGTCCAGCTGATTAGTCCACGTGGTCCTACCAGCAGCCAGAAGGTCACAGTTTAAAGTCTAGTCAGTGATCAGAGTGACGTTGGGCTGAATGTGTGCACTGTGACGCCGTCATCTTCAATCACTGACTTCAAACAGTCTGTTGTGCGTCTCTGGTGATGCTGAGGAGTCGACATTGGGGTGCAGCTGGGATGATGTAACGCTTGTTGTGCCCTGTGACCTCTGACTCTGTGTGATGCATGCAGATGGGATGTTGTACAAATAATCTGTGCTAAGAGGTCCTTCAAGGGAAACACTCTGGGGGGCACGACACACTTGTGAACAATCAATGTGTTGAAAAGTAAACTCAATTTGACAATAATATAGATGTAATGGATGCAACCAGTTGAACAGGAGAGTTCAGATGTGAATTATGTCCTGAGAGGAGGTTTAATCAGACAACTTTGGTATAAGTCCCTGTGTGGGAGGATCATGGCTGTGGAGGTTCTTTGATAAAACGCTGTGTGGAAGTTTGTTTTATCTATATGGTCCGAATTTTATAGAGAGCCCCATTTAGGTGCTTTAAAAGCATCTTATAAAGATAACGACTGTCTATGACTCCTGCTGCAAAGTTCAGTCGTACACTTGTTGTATTTATTGGTGTGATTTTAGATAAACTGTTGATACAGGATCTGTGTCATAAACAGCAAACTGCTAAACAAAGAACACTGGAGACAAATGAGCCGGAGTTAAGGACATACACATCAACAATAACAATAGAAAGCATACCAATGTGCAAGTAGTGGCTTGTAGGGACAAAGCAAACGTTACAAAGCATCTTAGTGTCTTTCAGCTGATTTTGGTTTTCTAGCCCACAACTTTACTGTTTTAGTTCATCCTCCCTGCTCACATTAGTGTGGCTTCCAGCAACAGCACACAACTGTTCTGAAAACAACTTCCACGTTGTCCTCCAATCGCAAGGTTGGTGGTTCGATCCCCGCCCCTCCACAGTCAAAGTGTCCTTGAGCAAGACACTGAACCCGAAGTTGCTCCCAATGGCATTCAGCACCGTGCCTGGCAGCTCTGTCACCATTGGTGTGTGAATGTGTGTGTGTGAATGGATGATAAAAGCGCTGTATAAGTGACCATTTACCATTTACCAACACCTGCCCAGCTCCAAATGAGAGACGCACAACTGTAGTGATTAGCTGGTGAACAATGAGCGGCTTAAAGCAGCTAAAGAGCCGCAATTTTTTCTCAGGAGTTGGTGACGGACAAAGATGAGCTGAAAGTAAACACAGTTAATGTTTGACTTTTTGTTGGCACAAACCTGAAACCAAATCAATCCTCAGTGTGTATATTACACACCTCAACATTTAATGTGTCAGTTTTGTGATCCAAGAAACCACACTGCAAATTCCAAGTTGAATGACCCTCTTGAAAAGTATTTACAAATCCTCGACCCTTTATGGTGCAGGACTATTATATTCCACTATATGGTTCTGTTAATCTGTCCACCTCCTATAACTTGACAGTAAATTAAAAGTGCATGTTATCATTTAAAAACATATCCTCCATGTCTTTTCTCTCTCTGGTTGACAGACACAGAACCAGGCCACATCCCCAGCTCCATCAGCGTCCCCTTCCACTCCTTCTTGTCCTCCTCAGGTCACTTCTTGCCCAAGGATCAGCTCCGGGCGCTCTTCACCCGGGCCGGTGTGGACCTCAGCCTTCCCATCTGCGTCTTGTGTGGTTCCGCTGTGACGGCGTGCCACGTGACGCTGGCGGCCCACGAGTGTGGTCACCCAGGAGTGTCGGTGTACGACGGAGGGTGGTCGGAGTGGTACACCCGCGCTGTGCCCGAACACGTCATATCTGAAGGCAGAGGGAAACATTTGTAACTGGATCGAGCTGGGGCTGGATCACGACAAACTCTTTAGTTGTTGTCGTTGGGGAAAGTACGCTGAAGTTTGAAGGAGTCGTTTGCCATTTTGGAACTTGTGTCTTCATGCTGTGAGGCTACAGGCAGCAAGGGGTTGGCTTGGCTTAACATAAAGACTGGAAACAGGAGGACATGGAGAGTCTGTCTCGGTCAAAAGTTTTTAAAAAAATAGGCCTATCAGCAACAGAATTGTTAAACGAGTCCGTGAAGTGCTTCCAGTCTTTGTGCTAAGCTAAGCTAACTGTCTGCTAGATGTGGGTTCATATTTAGCACAAACAATGTCAACTGTTCCTTTAACATTAATATATTGATACATTAAGGACACTAAACTGGACTCATTTAATCAGTCTTGGAGCTGGAGAAGGTTTGTCTGAAGCTAATGTTGGAATAAAACAAAGCCACACTCAGAATCACAGAGTCTGGAGTTGCTGACGTGTCATTTACATCCAGTGAAATCTTCATCGGGGCTGTAGGATTGACAAAAAGGACACAAATCTGAGCTGAGAGCATAGTCTACTTTGTCAGGTTGGTGGGTTGACCGATGGACTCTGATCTGAACGTTCAGAAAGCTGATTAGACAGTCACGTATAGACTGGAGTGCTTCTTTTGAAATAGGATGGTGTCCTCTAGTGACAAAGAAAAGAGTTTGTTTCAAACAAATCAGTAAACTGAAACAAAATATTTCCAGTGTTACTTTTATATTTTGTCCCGACCCTGCACGTATACAAGGATTAGCCACAACATTAAAACCACTGACAGGTAACGTGAACAACACTGATGTGAGAGGGTGGGATATACGAGGCAGCAGGTCAATCAAACAGTCAGTTCTTGAAGTTGATGTGCTAAAAGCAGGAAAAATATGCAATCGTAAAGATCTGAGCAACTTTGACAAAGACCAAATAGTGATTGGTAGATGACTGGGTCAAAGCATCTGCAAAACAGCTGATCTTAAGGGGTGTTTCCAGTATTTAGTGGTTAGCATCCACCAAACGTGGTCCAGAGAAGCACAATCAGTGGTCTGGTGATGTGGTCATGGGCACTTGGGACACACTGACGGACTTGAGTAGTGAAGGCTGGCCCATGTGGCGTGATCCCACCAGAACAGCTTAACCTTAATGCTGACGATGATAGAAAGGTGTCAGAACACGCAGATCATCACAGCTTCTTGCATATGTGGCAGTGGAGCTACAGACTAGTCAGAGTGCCCATACTGACAGTCTTCAAGTGGACCATGGAGCAATGGATGAAGGTGGTCTGGTCTGAAGAACCATGCGGATGGCCTGGCGAGTTGTCTGGAGATGAGATGGCAGCAGGATGCTCCGAAGACGACAGCAGTTTGATTCTCTGGACGATGATCTGCTGGGAAACCTTGGCTCCTGCATTCATGTGGATTCTACTTGGACAGGTAGCACATATCTAACCGTTGCCACAAAATTGTTGAGGAATGGGAACATGATAAAGGGTTCAAGGTGTTGACTTCTCCTTCAAATTCATCTGTGTGATGGACTGGAAAAGCAAGTCTGGCCCATCATGACCCCACCTTGCAACTTCTGGGACTTTAAAGAATCTTTCTAATATCTTCAGGCCCGATGCCGCTGGACACCTTCAGAGGTCCGTGGAATCCAGGCCTCAACAGTTCAGAACTCTTTTGGTGGCACAAGAGGCCTTGAAACAGTATTAAAGAGATCAGTGTGTATAATTGAACATATTTCAGAATCTGAATTGATCCTCCAAATCCTCAGTTACAATACACGATTGAAAAAAGCTAATCATTTGATTTTTTTTTTGTATATCTAACCAGTTAGTGGTCATTACAATCTAGAATTCTCCATGTGACTTTCTTAAAATTAAAAATATTTAGTTTGACCAACAACACACTTGACCCCAAAATCATTTTTCTGTAAAGCACCATCAAAAATAGGTACTCTAAATACATCGGAAATGTCAAGTGACTATGACACATGTGGGTTATAAAGAAAAGGAAGTAAATGGTTTCGAGCTTCCACATTTCTGGCTTCCTTTTAAGCAGACCCTTGGTAATGCAGCGTAATTCTCTGTTAGTGCAGCTGAATCACTCTCTTGTATGAATGGTATAAGAGTAACACTAAAAGGAGTCGACCAATTTCATCTCTGCTGTTCCAGGCCGAGGGAGTCGCCGGGTTTTTCTGGCCCTAACTGGTGAGTGTGTTGATCTGATAAAGAAATTATTTCTGTTATCTGGCTTTAAACACGAGGTCCACTGGCACAGTTGTAGGAGATAGTTCACAGGGGGAGTGAGCTACAAAGAAATCTCTATTTTGTCCAGTTTTATTATTTGGTTTCAAGAGATTGTTTGTGTGTTTAATAAATAACAATAATAAGCTTGAGAATGACATGAGGCAGTTTTCGGCTGTCTTCAAGAATATTGTAAGAAATTTGTGTCATGTGTGCACAACACTTAATCACCATGATATTAGGGTCTGTTGATTTTCCTATCTACAACATCAAACTGTCTGATTTTCTTACCGTTGTAATCGTCATAGGGCTGCAAGGTGGCACAGTGGTTAGCAATGTTGCCTCGCAGAAAGAAGGACACCCAGGATCTTTATGTGTGGAGTTGAAGGGGTCTCCGGCTTCCTCCCACACAGTCTAAAAAAAGGTTAATTGGTGATTCTAAATTGTCTATAAGTGTGAATGTGAGTGTGCTTGGTTGTCTGTCTCTAAGTGTAGCCCTGTGATAGACTAGTTACCTGTCCAGGTGAACCTGCCTTCACCCTGAGTCAGCTGGGATAGACCCCAGCCCCCCACCACCCCAGTGAGGATTAAGCGGTGTATAGATAATGATGGATGGATGTAATAGTCATATGAAAATGCTTTTAGTTTCCACTGGAGGGCAGCACAGTACAGCTCAGATGACTGTCTTGTCATGTCTGTTCTACAGGTTATCAAATGTTTATTTATTTATATTTCTTATATATATATACTTTATCTGTGTAGAAATGAAGTCCAACCAATCTTGGCACTGGAGAACATTTCAGAGATTAGTGAACAACGACTGTTGAGCTCCAAACATGCAGAGGTCACAGAGGTTGTCATGTAGCTTTGCTTAGAGTTTGTTCAAACAGAGAAGTGAGAGTTGCTGTTACCAGAGCAGAAGTTTTTCTTTTTGTTGGTTTACAAAAAGCTGAAGTTAAATTCGTTGTGATACTGGAAACTTTTTGTGATTTTACCCATTACTATGTTGTATCGTCGACATAGAAAGCAGACATATGATGGAGAATAAACCAAAATAACTCCTTTTTAAATCTACGGGTTGTTATACTTTTCCCACCAGCCACAGGAATATTTAGCAGACGTGTTCGGTATTGTTTGTCCATGCTTCTGACGTAAATAAGACCACATGTGTTGACCAATTCATGCAGAAAAGTGAGTAGTACCAAAGGTTCACTTCCATTTTCTCACCTCCCTGTAAAACCACAGCTTGTAGTTTGGCCTTTTAATGGCGACGACAAACAAGCTTGATGCGTAAATAAGTGGGCTTTAGACGTGGGCAGCTTCTGATACCTTCTTAACTACAGCAAAGGTGAACGGGCTGCGCAACCAGACTATCAAGGAAATCAATGTTTCTATGCTTCTGTTTTTGTACGTACAAGATACGAGAAGTATTTGAATTAATAAGCTTCAGAAATCCTGAGCTAGCTGGTGGGTCTGGCTTCATGTTTCCTGTACAGACACATCAGCAATATGAATATCTCATCTGACTCCATCCATCCATCCATTATCTATACACTGCTTAGTCCTCACTAGGGTCGTGGGGGGCTGGAGTCTATCCCAGCTGACTCAGGGTGAAGGCAGGTTCACCTGGACAGGTAACCAGTCTATCACAGGGCTACACTTAGAGACAGACAACCAAGCACACTCACATTCACACCTACGGACAATTTAGAATCACCAATTAACCTCAACATGGTTTTGGACTTTGTGGGAGGAAGCCGGAGAACCCGGAGAGAACCCACGCTGCACGGGGAGAACATGGAGACTCCAGATCCCGGGTGTCCGAACCAGGACGAGAACCAGAATTTCCTCAGTAGTGATTGTTCTTGGTCTTCCTCTTCCACTTCCTCCTCGTCCACCACCTCTCACACGAACTCTGCATGTTTCTGTCAATTGCAGATTGACATACAAGTTCCAACATTGCACTCTGAGCTGACTTTTATCCTGCCCAGTTGGTCTGATCACATCATTACAAATGTGTGTTGAGCTGCTATGTGTAAAAGCTGACAGCTGTGTTGGAGTTGTGTTCACGTTTTGCTGCCAGTGTTTACAAGTTTGCAACACAAGTGTGTCATGGTGTGAATTGTGTTTTGTGACTGAGAATGTGTTCAAGGTTTTGCAGCAAAGAGCAGATGAGTTTGACAAATTGAGTCCAAGTACCTGAACAGTGTTTAAGGTTTGGCCAAAAGAGTGTTTGAAAAAGGAGTTTAGGCCACTGAGAATTTGGTCCAGAGAATGGGGTTCAGTGTTTTAGCAACTGGGAAAAACTGGAAGGAGATTTAAGGTGTAGTTCTGGAAACCACTTTACTATCATGTCTTCTGCTTGTCGTAGTAACACTCTGCCTGGGGCTAAAGTGTTACAAATAAATTGACATGAGCAGCAGTTGAAAGGGAACAGAAAGAAGCAAAGCAGGCCAGCAAAAGAAACACATGAGGGGAAACCACATAACCACCTTTTTTTTTTTTTTTTTTCTTACTCGGAAACCTTTCCGATGCGTCACTTTCGATCCTCAGACACGATAGCTGAGTTGTAGAAGGGAAACGATACAGCTTGAATAACTCTACAAACATGGAAATTATTTATCACTAAGGATCGAGGCAATAAGGGACAGTCACATGTGAAAGAGCTGTGGACAGAACACTACTGGACAGGTAGGGTAACGGCTGTTTTTTGGGGGGTTTGTCAATGTAATGAATGAGGTTATATCGAGAAATGATGAGCAGCTCTGATAACAGCGTTGTAGAGGATGATAACGGTAAGCGGTTTTAGTGTGAGCGTACATGTGTGCGTGTTTTACAATAACCAAGATGATGACATCAGTCATGATGGGGATGAAACTGTGAGACTTTCTTGGTAACATCTCAATTCTTCCTTTTTTTTTTTATTTTTAACGTAAGACAAGCAGTGTACTTTGATAAAATATTACAATCTCAAAGTCCACCCACCACCTTTTCTGTGGAGGTTTCACTGCTTCTTACATGTTGAAATCTTCCACTGAAACTGACAACAACGTTTTGTGGTTGGTGAACCTACCATTAAAGCGATTATCTGATTTTAGAAACAAACTTTTTTAATGAATGAATGTTAAACATTGGCAATAACCTGAATTTCATCCCAGTAAGCAGTTCAAAATGTCTACTGCCTTTTTAAAATACTGACTT